CCAGCAGGTGGTGCTATTCCATCGCTCCAGATGGTCTTTATCTCAGCTGCTCACCTGCCCCTAAGGGGAGGGAGACGTGGCCTCAAGGCACACGGGAGGAGACCCATGGCCTGGCAGGACATCATGGTGGTAGTAGATCTCAGCAGATCTTGCTCGCAGGGGCTTCAAGGTCTGAAGTCGTGGATTGCCTCAGGCACGGGCCACAATAGCTGCCCAGAGTGCAGTGATGCCTCAGCGAAGTCTACAGCTGAGCTCCATGTGAAGAGCAGGCTGCCGACGATGGGATCTGCAGCCTACAGGGAGAGAACCAGAGTCTCTTTGTCCTCTTAGTGTTTTGAAAGGCTCTGTAAGCCTGTATCATTGGGTGACTGACTACCTCAATTGCACCAGAAGTAACTTTCCATCTAAGGCAGGTTTGTCCTCTGAGGATGCACAGTTTCCTCCATGTGGAGGGGACTGGCTCTGTAGCTGTCATATGTCTGTTAGCCTGTCCTTTGTGGACTTTTCCCTGGGATACTTTACCCTGGGAAACTCCTGACATATGGTGTTCCAAAAGAATTCCCTAGAATGAGGGGATCATAGATAATATTACAGCTTGTATAGTAATTTTAAGTTTTAAATCATTCTTAAATCCACTTATTAAGCGGAATAAGAAGAATAACTAGGACTTCTCATGAGATTGTCTGGGCTCCTGCCTGAAGTGCTCCAGTGAATGCATATTTTGCATTGGATGCTCATCCTGATCATGGAATTGAATAGACAGCTAGATCTGATGTGAAAATTAGTAGTATTCCTATATTTATATTGATTAGTGCCTGGAGTATTGGTAGAGGGATTCATATAGCAAGTGCAAGGGATAGGGCTGGGGTAAGTGCAGTGGTATAAAGAATAGAGGATGAAAAGGGTTGAAGTGTAACACATAGGGATCAACAGTATTAGGTCCTTTACAAAGCTGCACATAGCCTCAGATTTTTCAACCAATGTTAGGAATGCTGTGGCAAGGAGGGTGGGGACAATAAGTAAGAGAAGGTTGATATCTCCCCTCCCTCTCTCCCTCCTTTGGATTAAATATGTCACTCAAGCCTGCCTCTTGAGATGTAGATAAAATCAGCTCCAACGTATATTTCACAACCTGCAGAAGCAATATTTAAAGCTTATCCTGTGATTAAAGTCTGGGCTGATCTCTCCAATAATTTAGTATAGTTTATAATTTATTCTCACTATCTCATTCCATATTACTTTGAATCAGATGTGGAACTCTTTTATGATTTTCATAAAATAAAGGAAGGAAGGAAGGAAAGAAGGAAGGAAGGAAAAGAGGGAGGGAAGGAAGGGAAAGGGAAGGAGAAGGGAAGGGAAAGAGGGAGGGAGGGAAGAAAAGAAGGGAAGGACGAGCAGGTGGAAGGAAGGAAGGGAAGAATGAAAAGATGGAGAAAGGAAGGGGAAGGGAAAGGAAGGAGGGAGAAGGGAAGGGAGGAAAGGAAGAAAGAAAAAAGGAAAGAAAGGGAGAAAGGAAGACAGGAGGGAGGAAAGGAGAGAAGGAAGGGGACGGGAAAGGGAAGGGAAAAGAACGAGGGAGAGTGGAAAGAAGGGAAGAAGGAAAGATGGGAAGGAAGGAAGGCCACACATAAACCACATGTATGATGCTTTGTGTGTGAGTAGACATTACCATGTTCTTAGTGCTCTGAAGTGTGACAAGTACTTAGTAGACACTGAAGATATATTCACTGAATGAATGGATTTAAATTGGCTAAATCGCAACTTGTATGAGTGCTTAAACCACTGGTGTTCCCTGCAAAGATATATATTTAATATCTCTATTTTTTAAATTAAAAACACTAAGATAAAGAAAACATTATATGTGTCCAGACTCTTAATCAATGAAGACTGAGTGAAAGAGTAAATAAATGCAAAAGGATCATGGTGAATATAAACTGTTCCCGCATGCCAACAGCTTTGACAGTGCAACACATTGTTAGCCAGTTTTCCAAAAGGCTTCACCAAGTGCCAGAGATCTGAAATATTTGCCCATTGGGGAAAAACACAAACCTTTATATTTGAAGTGTAGGTTAATTTTATTAAACTTTATAGTCAAACATGTCTAAAAGTTTCCTAAAATTGAGATTTAAAAAAAATTCTCCATTTTACCTTTGAAAAACAAAACCAAAAAAATCTCTTCTTTTTATGGAAAATAAAAAGGGGCATATTTAATTTTCTTGTCAGAGATTATCTTTGTTAGGATAATTCACATTGATTGAACTTTAGTTTAATGGTCCCCCAGATTATCTTTGTTAGGAATATTCACATCGATTGAACTTTAATTTAATGGTCCTCCAGAAAACATTGTCTTTTGGAAGGTAGGAATCTAGTTTTCATCTCTGGGATGAGTAACCAAGAAAATTGTAAAATTTTCATTTGGTAGTTATTTTGCCACACTATCTTAAGAGAAATTTGGTAGTATCTTGCCATCTTTTTGTAATTTACTTGCTACTAATTACCAATATAAAGCTACCTGTTTTAGGGAAGAGAAGCATCTTTGTACATTTTAAAATTGCACATTAATTATTTTTAATTGCTTTGTGGTATTAATATCTGCATATATATATATATTACTGTCTTTATGTTTGACACAGTAAAACATTGTAAAGTAGTTGCCTCAAAGCTTTGGGGGGGCAAATTCAAAGTACTATTTGTCCTACTTGGATGATTCTGCCTTGATTTACTTACTTACAGTCTCAATTTTGGATGTTAATTAGGTAGCAGTTTAACTTCTCCTGGATTTGATATATGAAGTCTTTAAAAGTAACCATTAAAAAGCTGTTAGTGTTAAAAATAATGGGAAGAAGATATTTAGTGAAGTACTTCTCAACATTTTTCTAGTTGTTTTTATACAAAATAAAAATATTCGTACAGTGCACTGAGGTAAAGAGAAAGCTGCTCAAAGGTGGAAGCTCCAGCAAGGGAGCTCTACCCAAGTGCCCTCATTAACTAGTAAATCAGGTAAGGAATCCCTGTATAACCTTAGCTGGGAAACTATATTTCACTACTTCCTGCATTCTTAGTGAAAAATATTTTAAGGATTACTCACATGGCTGGTGTTGGAGAAATAAAATGAAAAAAAAAATCTCCCAACCCAGAAAAGCTCTCACAGTTAGTAGAGAAATAAGGTAGTTTTTTTATTGAATTAAGGTTACACCAGAATGTGATGCACTTCACAGCCAATCTGGTAAGACATTGTAAAGATAGAAATCTCACCCTTTTATATAGTAAAAAATACAATACCCCAAGATATGTCAAAAAGACAATACCCCAAAATATGGGACTTTGACACAGTGAACTGAAGAAGCAGCCTCAAGATCTCTCTCTGACCTTTCCTCAGCTCCTTACCTCTCTGATCCTCTTTTTTCCCCCTTATTTGCTTAAGTAAAATGTTTTCAAAAGAAATAGAATTAAGACCACCTCCCAGGAATCTCATCAAATAAGTAGGAAGTATTAATCACCAGAAAAGAGAAGAGACCAGGAATCTTCACCCAGATCAGACAGATTTCATCTGTTTTCTGAGGGCAGCTCCGAGATTACTCAGGAGACTGTGTCTGCATAATAAGAAAACTTTTGTTCACAATGCAGTTCCACCCCTCAGCTTTCCATAACGTTCCCACAAGCTACTGTTTGTTCCATTAGATATCCACAGAGAATCATTTATATTATCTTGTCTTTAGGCCAATTTTTTTTGGTATGGCTTCCCCTACTTCTCTCTCCCCAGTGATATGTCAACCATCTGGACGTTTTTGAGTCATCTTTTTGATATGGCTTCTATGCTCATGCACATTAATAAATTTGTTATACTTTTGTGCTTTTCTCTGATAAACTTATCTTTTGTTATAGAGATGTGGGCCATGACCTTATCATGGAGAGGAAAGGGATCACCCCCCTTTCCACTCCTATACATAATGTAAGAGGACTTGACAGCACCATTTGCCACACATAGTTTATCTAGATTTACCTGGTAATTGGAGTGATTATCTGTGTTAGCTAATTGGCTTTATACAGAGAAAAACAAACTTTGCACATATTTGTGACAGGAGGTGGTTTTACACTTAGAGAAAAATGCCTAAGAAATTTAGGCTCCTACCCTCTTACAGAAACTAGGAAAAAGGGATGCTGTCTCCCTTGATGTTTACATTTCAAAGAGAGGTCCTTGAGAAAGACTTTTCTAGATTATAAAGCTGACAATAGACCTATCTAATTTTCAAGAGAATTTATATACATTTCAAAGGGAGGAAAAGTACCCACATTACAGTTACAAATTTTCTAAAGTAAATGCTTCTAAGAAAAAGGAGGGGAAGGAAATCTCTTTCCCTGATTCAATAGGAATAATTAAGCCCCTATTTTAAACTTGTATCTGCCCTTATACTGATCATGTTTAGTTGAACCACTCAGAAATTATTATTTTAATTCTTTTATTTTGATAAAATAATAATTTCTGAGTTTGGATTACACATTTTTGGTGCAATTTTGTTGCTGAAGTTTTTATTCTCTAATTAGGTTAAAATTGGGTTTCATAGTTATGCAATGTCTGTCATCAAAAGACCAGGTGAAAGAGTATGGTGAATCTTCACAGATCATCCATTTGAGGCACATTATTCTGTAGGCCAGTGGCTCTATTTCTGTATTTTGGGATAACATAATTTCTGTGGAATAGTTTGTTCTTTTTTTCACATGGTTCTTATAAAAAAAATCTGAGTTTTCTATATAGCTAGCTTTTTTGTTCACATAGATTGTTAAATAGAAAACTGTTCTAATTGAGAGATTAGTTCCTTTTTCTATAGTGTTAGGTGAAGCCTGCATAGTTTCTAACTATTCATCAAACATATTTTTTTACATTATTAAAACACGCAATGTCACATATAATCAAAATAAAATATTTTAAATTAATTAGTTTTATTTTTACTTTTTATATACTTCTTAGCTTTAAATAACTCCTCTCTTCATTTCTTTAGGGTGCAAATTTGACATTTTTGAGTTCTGATCATCCTAGTCTTCCAGAAAGCATAAAAGAAAACATATTACTTATACTCCGAATCACAAATATCAATCAAGTTGCTTTGGATTCTCTCAAGTAAGTCATATATGCTTTTGTCATTTTGAAAGTAAGTGAAAACACTGTTTTTTATTGTCTTAAAGTAAGTTTCTATCACAAAGCATTTAGACTTTAGTTAAGACTTATATTTTTTAAAAATAGCATAGCTATGTGTGTCTATTTTATGTACTATCTTGTACATAAATACACCTCATGTGTGGGAACAGTTACAATCAATTTAAAGATTTTAAATATCCCATTGTATGCTAAGGATTCCTTATTAATTTGTCTTTGCTATAACTTTTTTTTTCCAAGAAAGCAGGATTTATTAAGAGGATAGAAAAGCTCCCACAGTGGGAGGGGACCTGAGGAGGTTGCCCTGAAATAGCATTTTTATTGTACCAAATGCTGCTAAAGTAATACATTTTAAAAGATGGATAAGAGTACAATATTATAACTATTTTTCCACATTATTAGTGTGATGCTTTTATTTTAGCATTAAAAATTCTTGCATCCTATATGATTATAGTATTGAAAGGACATAAGGTGGGGTCAATATAGCCAAACAGCAGCCATGTTTACACTGCCTAGTTCTGTCATATACTCTTAAAATTACCTAGCTTACCCTCTAATCAAGGATAGAACAGGTTTCTCGGAGGTAGCTATTAATAATTATTTCACAACCCCCTCCCCAACTTGTTTTGTAAACAAGTTAACCTAATCAGCTCTTCATGACCTTCATGACACAGACTCCATCAACATGGCAGCAATCATGTGACTAACCCACCCATCTGCCTGCCATCCATTACCTGACATCAGTACCTGTGCTTACCTGTCCCCTTCTTGGACAGACCACCACCCAGTCACCTTAGTGATCTACCCCCCATCAAAGGGAAGGTCTAAAAGCATTCAACCTCAAGCAACCATTTGCCATTGCTTTGCTGAGCACTGTCCAGGTCATGTACTCATTGAACTATAGCTGCCATGTTTCCTAACTTTGGCCCCCTCCCCTACCGTGGAGATGTGGATCTTGTCTCTCAATTCTTTGTGTCTTTCCCATGGCACCAGATCGTAGACACCCCAGCTGGTCTGACCTAACATTTTGGAGGTCCTGCTGGGATTTTGACCTAATAGTGCTCATTGATTGATAAACTACATAGTGAATAAATAATATGTATATTCCTGTGATTTTAAAACACTATTATATATATATTTCTGCGATGTTATATCTGTTTGAAGCTATGTCTCATAAATTAGTTGTAAGAAAGTTTGCTTTTTTTCTTTACTATATTGCTAAAAATGAATGCATTTGGGAAGGAGGATTTTTTAAAATAAGATTTTTACATTTTATTTTTTTCAAAGTGAAACTGCTTTTAAATCTAATAGTTTTAACTAAATATTTAAAAGAACACTGAAGCGTTTATAAAAATGAATATGTTTAAAGGTAGTCCTTGGAAGGTTTTGAGGATTTTCACTCTTGATTTAATCTTCCTGGGCATCAAAGTAGCAGGCAAGCTTCAGACTTGATTAAATTCTAAGCACTTTTCCAACTTTGCTGGAAGTTTCTTTGAGTCTGGAGCAGAGAAAAGCTTAGCGTTTCCAAACTCATGATTGCAAAATAGAATACATTTTTATCACTGTGAACATGTCAATTGCAGAACTGCTTCTGTGAAACATGAGGATGATATAATCCGTCAAGAAGCTGATGATAGGTTGGTCTTCAAGGCCATTCAAGGTATGTTATTACTGTACTCCCTAGTAGCTTGAATTTTTAACCATTTCTTTGGTTAAAACCATTAGTAAGACAGTATTTTGCAGATATTTCAATAGCACTTGATTTGTATTTCCTATTTGCTACTTTTTAAAAAGTTAATATATATTTATTTAAATTATTTAAGGATTTATTCTACTTTAATGATCCTAACTGAAAAATTAGTGTTATGTGAATTAAGAACTCAAGAATTTTTGAGATTACTAGATAATATGAGTCTTACGAACTCAATAAAATGTAAAAGTAATTTTTGTGATATTTGTCCTATACATTGGATGATATCCTAAAAAGATTTGTGGTGATCTAGTGTAAAAGAAAAATACTAGTCTGGAAACCAGATTCCTATTTGGGCATATGGTTTTGGAGACATAACTGCCACCTCTTTCTTCATCTCTAAAATGGGGATTATAACTTCCTTATTAACTTTTCAGTGTTGTTATAGGTAATAAATGAGATATATGTGAGCTTTGGACATTTTGCAAACTTATAAAACCACTGCCATATTCTGGGCTCAAATAGACAATTTCTTTGTTGAATCTCATCTCTAGAGCAAGAAATGCTTTGAACAAGTAATCACAGAAATTAACATACAATTTATGAATTTGATGAATCTTGATTTTTCATTTAAAGGTAAGAGTAAGAAGGCAAGAAACAGAATTGAAAGTTGTCTGAGACTGGTATTTGAACTCAATTATTCCATTAACTTGCCATTATTAGTAAACAGTTATCTCTTATTCTATCATGATCAGTATAATATTTGTTACTCTTGAATCTAGTGACATTTGTTATTTTCTCTAATGTCTAATAATATAACAATGTTAGTAAAGTTACCAATATTTTCCTAAATAAATACGGTACAAGCTACATTGACATAATTGCGCTACAAGAAGAATGCTTGGGACTTAAGCATATAACTTATGAATTTCTGGAAGGAAGATTTACTTTAAGTATGTAAGTATAGAATAGCATTCCAAAACTTTGATGCTGCTTAGCATATAAATTACAGTTGGTAGATTTCAAACTATTTAAAAATGTTGAACTGATTTTTTTGAATGACTTGCTTGGCATCAATTTTGTAATTCAATTGATAACAACAAAGAAAGGCAAAAGAGATTAAAGACGTGGGGCTGTTAGATAAAGATAAGTCCAGACAATAAAAAACTAAGATTTTATTTGTTACATTCAGGTAATTTTCTTGCTGATAAAGTAGAACATTATTTTCTTGCATATAAAATATAACACTTTCACCACACAGTGGTGCTATAGTTCTGGCATCTTCACATGTGATTTTACATTTAATTCTCTCTTAAAAATATTCTATTTTCCAAAGTCTTTTGTCAGTCATACACATGATTGGAGTGAATATTCACATCCCTTATTTCAGTAGCATCAACTTTAATTTTCTTACCAGAGACAACTGAAGCTTGGTACATTTGTGTATAGGAAAAATTAGTTTCCATCTCTCTTCTTATTGACTAGATGTGCTAAAAGAAAAACTACATAAAAGAGGTGTGCGTATTTTGACTGGATTGAGAAAATACTTTCAGCAATTGGACAAAAAAGGAAATGGACTTCTAGATAAGGAAGATTTTAAGCAAGCTCTAAAAGTATTTAACTTAGAAGTGCCTGAAAAGGTATGTGCCATAGAAAATTCTCTTCAGTGAATAATATTCTTAGGTGACATTATTTTCTTTTCTACTGAAATTTTAGTAGTTCATTTGTTTCTTCCTTTTTAATACTCTGGTAAGTGTTAAGCATCAGGCAACAAGTCCTATTGATTTTTAAAATTTTGACATTCATTCATCCATCATGTCTTTATGGAGAGCCTTATAACAAGGCATTGTGCTAAGCTCTGAGACGACATACTCTATACTCTCAAGTTTGTCATAATCAAAGGAAAATGAACATAAAACAAAATATGTATTAAATAGAGAATGTTTTCAAAACACACGGGACAGGTACCTAATTCCAGGCTAGGTTACGGGGAAGAAGAGGAAAGTTCATGGAAATATTTCTAGAGGAGGATACATTCACATTGAGGCTTGAAGGATGAAGAGGAATTAATTAGACAAGGGAGGAAGAAGACTGTAGATCAGAAAATGATTATTTCACAAAAAAGAGACACATAGGTGGGCTTGGAGGGGAAAGAGTGTGTGGCTGGTTCCTGAAACTGTAGATGGTAAGTCTTCACACATACTGTTCCTTTCGCTGTGAGTAATCTTCCACTAGATCTTTGCATGCTGGATTTTTCATTATTCGGTCCACAGCTTCTCCATCAAGAGCATTACCCTGATACTTCTGTCTACAGAAGTAACTCTATCTGATCCCTGGTCCTTGCTATACCAATTCCCCATTTTTTTTTTTTTTTGATGTCACTTTGTAAGTATTGTCTCTAACTGCAGTAGAACTCAAGTCCTATCAGGGTAGGGACCAGGATACTTCTGGCTTCCTGGTTTTTTTTCCTGGCATCTCGAATAGAACCTGGCATATAGAACCTATATCAAGTGCTGAAGGCATTAGTTTGAATGGATAAACCTATGGAAGGAAAGACAAGGTAAGAAAAGGAGAGAAGTAAGCCTGGCACGTTAAGGTCTTGCATACCATTCTAAGAAGGTTGGATTTTATTCTAAAAGTAAACACACACACACACACACACTCACACACACACGCACACACACACGTAATAAAAGTATATGCATTTGAAACACATTTGCCTCAAGAATTTCAGATAAATGATTCTCTTGTGTTGTTTTCTTTTTACTTCACAAGATGATAGTGTATTTTGTGAAAGGAGCACTGAAAATTGAAATCCAGCAAGACCTGTCTGTTCAGAGTCTTCTTGACCTTTCTGTGCAGCACTCCTTCCTCCAGGGTATGGGCAGGACCCCTTCCGAAATGAGAGTCTTATGGCTCATAATCAGACAAGGTGGGTCAGAAAAATTTTTTTATGACCAGCTCTGAGACAGAAAGACACGGAAAGATGTCTTCCTTGAAGAGAGAAAGAAGCAGTTGAAAGTAGAGTGGGCGAAGGTCAGAGAGTGAGATTGTTTTCTGAAACCTGCTTCTGAGGCCTAAAGTGCCCCAACGTTGTCACAAAAGGCTGTAACAAGTACTATGGGGATTGTAAGCCAGGAACTGTAGATGAAAACATATATAAATATGAAGATATATTAAGATATCATATATATATATAAGATAGATGTGATTTATGCATGGGAATGTGATTGGACAAAAAGGGTATAGTCTAATACTAATAGACCGAGCAGAGAAACCTAGGAAGACCTGTCTGTTGAGATTCTTTAGATTCTCCTCAGCCTCTCTGAATAGCTCTCCTCCCTCCTAATTTATATGTAAAATAGCATAGTACCACATGCAAGTAATTAATAACTCATGCAGAACTAGAAGCCAGATAATAAGACCCCATTTAGTATTTTTTCTACATCATTACAATATTTCTCATTTTAATGAATTTGCTACATATTTATGATTCGATTTAGGAATAAAAACTACAATAATTATATAAGACTTTTAACATTGGAAAAACATATATTAAGAAAATATGATTAAGCCTTCCCTCTTTTACCTATATTTTAAATAATAGTTTCTTTTTTTTTCTTTTTCTTACCATTATTGGAAATTGCTCATGCAAGGATAAGCGTATACCAAGGGCTTGAGAATAAGAAGATAAGAACCCTTAACCTGGGTCTAATCATGGAACTAGTGAATGTTTTTGGGAAGGCATAGTTGTTCTGCTTGATTTGAAATAAAAAAATGGATATGCACCTCAAAGAGCCTAATTTATATGGTGATAATATCAATGAATTTACCTCAGATGTTTTTCAGTGGAATTATTTTCTATTCTGTACCATATCTTAGAGTTATATAAATGTGTTGCCAATTGCCAATAGACACATGAAAAAGTGCTCAGCCTCACTAATCCTCAGAGAAATGCAAATCAAAACCCCATTGAGATACCACCTAATCCCAGTAAGAATGGCCATCATTAATAAAACAAACAGCAGCAGATGCTGGTGAGGATGCAGGGAAAAGGAAATGCTTCTGCAGTGCTGGTGGGAATGCAACTAGTTCAACCTCTATGGAAAACAATGTGGCAATTTATAAAAGAACTAGAAATAACCTTCCATATGACTCAGCAATATACTGGGAGTAACTCAAACAGTCTGCCAAAAAGATACCTGCACATGCATGTTTATTATAGCACTATTCACAATAACAAAAACATGGAACCAACCGTGCCACCCATCAAAACTGAACTGGATTAAAAAAATATGGTGCATATACATGATGGACTATCACACAGCCATAAAGGACAAGCATATGGACTTCACAACAACTTGGATAGATTCAGAGTCTTTAATACTCAATGATCTGTCACAGAAACAAACAGCAGAGTGCCACATGTTCTCACTCATAAGCAGACCCTGAATTTTTACCATAATGCTGTAAGACAGGAATTGTCAGTAGTGGGATACTGCTGGAATGCAGGAGGGTACACAACATCAATTGAGTACCTGATCTCAAACTAGGCAAAGTGGGAACCAAAAGGAGGCCCAAATGTTACCTGTACAATTACCACTTGTATACCTAATCCTGAATTGTACCCCACATCTTTAAAATATAAAAATAAAAAATAAAAAAATTATTGCTGATTGTGTTAAATTACTTAATTATTGAAAGGAATTATTTTAAACTTAAAGAAATATCTTTTAATTCTAGTCCTCCATGAATTGGGTGAGCAAATCTGTCTCCTGTTCATATTACTCATGGTTTTAAAGGTCGGGCTCATCTTCAATTCAATTGCACACACAATTATAGTTGAAGGAAGGCAGAGCATCTTGAGATTTAATTTTTCCAATTAGAGTTTTACTCCAAAAAATTAATAGGGAGCAGAAAAGGATATTTTTTGAGTACTTATTTTCTGAGCATCTCACTAGGTGTTTTATTTACCTTCTCATGTAAAATTAATGATTTGATTTGAAACACCAAAAATATGTTTTCTTGAGTTTGAGAAAACACATGCTGTAATTTCATTGTTATCAGGAACACTGTGAATAGAACTTTCTATGAAATAGTACATTTGCCAAAGAATCAAATGGTAATGGCAAAGTGAAAAAATTGACATAAGGGATTTATTTTAAATTATTCCTTTCAATGTAAATTATGGAATAGTACCAGAGTCACTTAAATCTATACTTTCAGGCATGAAGAATAACAGAATACAATTAGTGGTTCTAATGTTATTAGAGGTGTTCCGGGACCTGAAGTGACTTTGAATTATCATAGATATACATTAAAAGTAAATACTCAGCCGGGCTCGGTGACTCAGCCTGTAATCCCGTGCCTTTGGGAGGCTGAGGTGAGTGGATTGCCTGAGCCCGTGCGTTCGAAACCCACCTGGGCAGCGAGACCTCATCTCTACAATTAAATCAAAAAATCAGCCGGGCGTGGTAGTGCACGCCTGTAATTCCGGCTACTTGGAAGGCTGAGGCGGAAGGATCGCCGGAGCCCAGCAGGTCGAGGCTGCGGTGGCTGGGAGTGGCCACTGCACTCCAGTCTGGGCGACAGAGTGAGACTCCAACTCAAACAAACAAACAAACAAACAAAAATAAATACTCAAAACTGAGTAAATGATAACCCCCCCCCAACAGTATAAATTGAACTTTAAAAGATAAATTTGTAACCAGCGCATGGTGGGGAGTTGATATACAAGGAAAGGGGGGAAATTGGTCAAAGGGTACAAAGTTTCAGTTTGTGAAATAAGTTCTGGTGACCTATTGCACAGCACGGTGACTATAGTTAATAATAATATATATTTCCAAATAGCTAAAAATAGGATTTAAAATGTTCTCACCACAAAGAAATGATAAATATTTGAGGTAATGGATATATTAAATATCCTGATCATCCCACATTGTATGCATGCATCAAAACATCACATTGAACCCTATAAATATATACTATTCTTATTTGTCAATCAAAAATAAAACTTAAAAAGAAAATTTGTGAGTGATTGCTACTCCTAAATTATTTTTAACTTTACAGAACTGTTTACCACAGCTTTCCTTTAAATAACTTTTTTAGTAGCTTTAATTGGATTTATTTGTAACTTTTGATATTTTCTTGTTAAGTGAGCTATCATATCAAGGACTACAAAAGACATAGCGATATGTCTATATGTAATAATTTTGTTGTGACCTTATATAACTTGAAGATGTAACAGTGACCTCTGATTGCTTCTAGGATTTTGAGTCTGCATGGCTAATTCTGAATGAGAACGGCAATAGCAATGGTAATGGCAAGGTAGATTACGGACAATTCAGACGTTCCATTATTGGTGAAATGAATGAATATAGGAAATCATTTGTTCGAAAGGTAACTTTTTAAAGTAATCTTTCAAAGTGTTACTTTTAATAGACCGTTAGGCTTATTATTGAAAACTTCAACAAATTACCATTTAAAATGTTTAAAATCTATTTATCTGTAATGTGTGTTGGGTATAATACTGAGTGACCTCTCAAAAACAAAGGTCCGAGTATCACATGTTTTCACTCATATAATGGACCTTGAACATCCAATCTAATACCATAAGAAAATGACTGACAGTAGTGGGAAACTATGGGCGGGGGAGGGAGATGGGATTAACAAGCAAATATCTGTCTGGGGATGGGGAAGCACCTCTAATCAATAGGGTGCCCGAATGAAACGTATTTGTATACCTAACCCTTATCTGTACCCCACAACATCATAATAAAAAATATTGATTATTAAAATAAATAAATAAAACCCAAACAAGCACATATACATACAAGTCCGTCCATAATAAAAAAATAACATCACATGTATTAGAAAAGTACTATAAAAGGAAAATAAATTTGAAATCAAATCTTGATTAATAAATCACTAACTCCATAAATTGCTGCCTCCAGAAATCAGTGACTATTATGTTTTATAAAATATTCCTGAGCCTCAGTTTCCTAACATAGAGTTGGTATAAAGGTTAAATGAGATAATGCATATACAATTTTTAGCATTGTGACTTTCCCAGTGTCGATGCTCAAGACATTTTATTTTCGGATGATGACTAAAAAAATATTTTTCTGGTCTTTATAATATGCATGCTAAATATTAAAATGAAGATTATAATGATCATATTAAATTGGAATTAAAAACAAGAGCCCTGATTTTTATAGAAAACTATATGAGTTTATTTTAGAGTTTACTTTTGAAAATGTAGCAATCTTTTTCTTTCGTATATGTCTAATATAAAATGTGTATGTATCTAATAGTGAAGCAAAACTATTTTGTATAAAGTAGTATAAACAATTATATCAGGTAAAAATCTGAAATAGAAATATCAAAATCTCTACCTTTACTGACCAAGAGACACAGTAAAAAACTTCAAATTGTACAAATTCACCATGTAATATTTATGAACTTGTACTTATTTGTACTTTACAAATCTACCTGGTGGTAGATTTGGGTATCAGGAATAGAAATTGGAGTTTTGTCTCTTGTTTTGTTTTGTTTCTGAGAACAGAGAACAAAAGAAGAGTTATAAAGTACTATATTAGTTTGCTTGCTTAGGCTTGCTTAGGATGCCATAACAAAATACCACGGATGGTGTGACTGAAACAACAGAAATTTATTTTCTCACAGCTCTGGCAGTTAGAAGTACAAAAACAAAGTGTCAGCATATTTGGTTTCTTCTGAGACCTCTGTCCTTGGCCTGGAGGTGGCTGCCTTTTCATTGTGTCCTCACGTGGTCTTCCCTTTGTGTTGATCGTGTCCAATTCTCTACTTACAAAGAAATTAGTTGTAATGCATAGAGGCTCACCCTAACTTATTCCATTTAACCTAATTACCTCCAAATACAGCCATATTCTGAGGTATGGGGGATGAGAGTTCAATATATGAATTTTGTAGGAATACAATTCTATCTACAATAGTTACTATATGTCTGTGAACAAATACTGTAATCAACAAACATAATTCTAGGTTTAACTCTTCTGCAAATGTAGAATGTTGTTCTGGGTAGCTAGTATGTTTCTGTATATCTTGGTAGCTTGTCTGTTTTTATATACCTAATCATCTTCCCATGGAATATTTTATTATTATCATTATTTTTTTTTAGCTGGTGTCTCACTCTACTGCCCAGGCAGGAGTGCAGTGGCATAATCATGGCTCACTGCAGCCTCGACCTCCTTGGCTCAGGCCATCCTTTTGCTTCAGTCTCTCCATTAGCTGGCACTACAGGCACACACTACCACGCCCAGCTAATTTTTAATTTTTTTGTAGAGATGAGGTCTCCTTATGTTGCCTAGGCTGGTCTCGAGCTCCTGGGCTTAAGCAATTCTCCTGCCTTGGCCTTCCAAAGTGCTGGAATTACGGACATGAACCACTGCGCCCAGCCTCCACTGAAATGTTTTATGGTACTCAGAGTTGCATTGAATTAGAAGAACAATAACACAAGTAGTATTTCAAAAGGTAGTGTTAAATTTCAATAAATTATTAACAAAACTCATTTAAAAAGTATTTCACTTTCTCACTGATATTAGTAACAAAATATTTGCAAGAAAAATACTATGTAAGGAAAATAAAACTTGAAATCAAAGTTTGGTTAATAAATTACTTCTTGAGTTAAAATAGTCCTCCTGGCAATTGTTTAGACCATTTATAAGTTTCTTGTGAATCCTAGAGCTGGAAGTTACCTGGGAGTTCTTTAACCTACCTATTCAGTTTGCAGGAGGAAAACCAGGGAAACAGGTTAGGATACTCTCTCAAGGCCAGGATACTAGAAAGTTGTAGAACTTCCTACTTAAGTGTAGATTTCCTGATATCTGGCTATTGTATCTTTTCCCCTGTATTTATGTTTCTTCCATATACCAATTTAGTATTTTTAAATTGCCTTGTCTGTAGCTTAGAAATAATCTACTATAAAATAAAAAAATTAGGTTTTCATGTTGTCTAATGATTTCATCAAAAAATAACATTTATCTCTTTATTAAGGTTTTTATGAAACTGGATTTCAACAAAACTGGCAGTGTGCCTATTATTGACATAAGAAAATGTTATTGTGCAAAGAAGCATTCTCAAGTAATTTCAGGTAATTATTATGAGTCAAAATGCATTGTATTTCTAAAATTTTAGTTAATAAAAGTCATATAATTAAATTCTATTAATTTAAAATATAGACTGAGGTCATTAGCAAGGAAATAAACCATTTTTTTAAACTCCAGAAACTTGAGAGCTATTTGCCTTTCTTTATTTAAAAGTTATTGGCCTATTGTCTGTATTTATTTGTTTGATATTTATAATCAAGATATAACTCTTCTTTCCTCCTTAGAAGACAATGCAGTATTAATTTTAAAAGAATGGAATAGATTTAGAGAGTAGACAATTATATGTGCTAGTTTTACTGTATTTGCCTAAACAGTTATCTAGACTTGAGGATTTCAGGCCAAATAAGGGAATGTCTTTCTCTAGGGATGAGGTTATACACGTGATGAATATACATGCATCTCTTGAAATTTGAGAACATAGTAAATTTCTCCAAGTAACCCTAGAGATTCATTTCCTACTACATTTTTTTCTTTTTGTTTTACATAATCAATTTACTCATATAAATGCATTCTTATTATAAGCATTTTCCATCACAACTCTCCTCTTTTCATTACATTTTCCTCCATAGAAGTAAAAAGTATCTTTTAACATGTATATATTTCAGTCCTAACTCTATAAAATTCTCATAGCTGTATACATCTATAAATATCTTAACACTTTTTGAAGATTCTTTTGTGCATGAAAGATCACTAAACATAACATTATGTTGTTTGTTTTATATACCCAACAGTATGTTTTGGAGTTCCTTCCATGTTCATCCACATTAAGCCACCTTATTTTTATCTGCTGCATAATTTGTCATTGCATTCACATTAAGGATGACAAACTAGCAAGCTAAATAATCTTAAAAAGAAAAAACCTGTATTTTTAAAAAGAAAAAAGTGCTCTATTTGTTATCTATTATTACAAATTATAATGTATTCACATGCCCATTTTAGGGGTATAGGTTGTTTATGATTTACAGTTAACTTCAGGTTAAGGCTCTTAGACTACATATAATTTTATTTTAACTCTAGAAAATATTCTTTTTTTAACTTTAAGTAAAATATTAGAAAAAAAATTCTTTAGGTTTAATAGAAATGGAATGTCCCAAGTGTATTTCTGTGTCATGGTATTAGAAAGCTAACATTTTTTGTTGTAAATACTTTCTGGTCTCTAAGATGAGCAAAATAAAGTTTGTTTACAAATGATAGGTATTTTCTGGGTGGAGGATTTAAGAAAAGTATAAAATTTTTGGCCACTTGAAATATAAATGTAAATAAATATTTTTCTTAGAAAAAATCTGTTAAAAACTCATCTGCTCAAAAATATGAATGGTAAACAAAAAGAAAAATACTCCTTGCACAGTTTATGTTTTTGTATAGATTATACCTTGATTAATTTTTAGTCTTGGTTAACAATTACAAAATCATTTTATTATTTTATATTACCATCCCTTTATAGCATAATTATTTAGTAATTTTTCATTCAACCTGCTTTTTAAAAGAAAACACTTTGTTTTCTATTTCTTATGTATGTTTGTAAAAGACAGCAAATTTCATGATACCCAAAATAGATTTTGTTTCTTTAGATTGAAAGGCACTTTAAAATGCATTATTATCTAAGTCCATTAGACAACCTCTGATTTGTGGAAAAAATTCAACTTTCACCCTAATGTTATTCACCATGCTCGACAAATGATTCAAGTATTATTCCCAGTTAAAACTGTTATTTAAAATGCACTCGACTTTAAAATGTTTTAGTGTGTTGCAGAATTTTGATTATTTTTTGCTATTATATATGAATCTTTGTTCATTCTTTTTAAAGTATTCCCTGATGACCTACTATAGCCTCCTTTTCTTTAAATTATTATTTTCTTATTAAAAATAATTATTTTTAAAAATAAATCTTATTTTTTATGCTAGGATCCTGGAGTTAGATCAGTGCAGGGAAGGGATGGACAGAGAGAGTGGTCAATTAAAATGCAATCCATTGATTCTAGTTCAAGTTTAAATAAATTGGAGGGTGTCTGACATAAGATTTAAAATTGTTGAAAAGATTTTGTGAGATGATTAACTCCTCTTTTATCATCATTAGTCATTTCACTCAACTTTTCAGGAAACTGTCTCATAGTCAGTACTATTTTACAGGCCATTCCACAGAAGAAGAAATCAAATCATCTTTTCTAGAGACATTGAAAGATGCCTGCAGCAAATCTGATGAAGTGTCATATGGTGAATTTGAAGATTACTATGAAGGTTTAAGTTTAGGGATAGTAGATGATGAAGATTTTTTTAACATCATATGTACTCCATGGGGGATTTAGTTTTTGATAATATGTATGTTATCAGCACTAAGAATTTTATTGGAGAAAGATTTGAATGCAAGGTATGATTAAAAACTGGGTTATATTTTTCTAGGACTTTATTCTGTGTTTTTTTTTCTCAAAAAAGTTGAGTCTAGAAAGATAAAAATTCAGAAAGATAGATGTAGAGTTGAGTGTGTGTGTGTGTTGTGTGTTTGTGCATATATACACATGTTCACATTGTAAAGATATATCTTTTTGATTTATTACTTACCTTGATAATATGTTAGAGGTAATTTTAAAATTTTCCTCAATAGAAAATTTACATCTGCATCAAACTATATGAGAACATCTTCATATGTTAACCAGTTTCTGTTCTTTCACTTTTTTTTTTTTTTTTTTGCTACCTCCTCCTCTGGATATTATTGCGGCCATTCTCAATTTGATGAATTGGAACTGAGCCCAAAGCTGATGAGACTGAAACAGTTTGTTTTAAACATATGAACATGTTAAAGAAATTAAATTATATGTAAGATAAACTTTTTAAGCAATGTGATTTTAGATGTTTTCTGTATTTAGAATAATGGAGTTTTACCCATGCAATGCTCATTTAAACACTGACTAGTCTTGTAAATTTTTGTCTTCTAAATTATGTAGTTATTTGTTCAATAAAGCATGATGTAGTTATTTTAGTGACTAGTTATGTTCATTCTTTGATACTATTTTATCCTATTTTTTTTTTTTTGAGTTGGAGTCTCACTCTGTCGCCCAAACTGGTGTACAGTGGCCGCTCCCGGCCACCGCAGCCTCGACCCGCTGGGCTCCGGCGATCCTTCCGCCTCAGCCTTCCAAGTAGCTGGAACTACAGGCGCACGCTACCACACCCAGCTGATTTTTTGATTTATTGTAGAGATGAGGTCTCGCTGCCCAGGCGGGTCTCGAACCCGCGGGCTCAGGCAATCCACTCACCTCAGCCTCCCAAAGGCGCAGGATTACAGGCTGAGCCACCGAGCCCGGCTTATTTTATCCTATTTTTAACTGTAATCCTTTTAACCTGCATATAAGGTTATTACTTACAGCAGGAAACAATACAATATTGGAGGGATATTCTCTTTGATCATTAAATAAATATTTTTAAAAGTATATTATTACATATATGATCTAAGGAATAATTTCATAATTATCCAAAATACAAAAGCATATTTTGCATCCTAAAATGAATGTATGTTCTGCTAAACATCTCTTTTTGATGAACAGCCAAAACAGTTTCTTCTAAATATATAGTATGTAATGGTTAGATGTGTTATAATAATTCTTTCTAAACTTTTTGCTCCTCACTTCTTCCTGGAAATACAGTGAGAAGAAAGAACTTCTTGAATTGTTTCCAGATTCATAATTTCAAATTTTATATGTTAATGTAACATAAATTAGAAAAAAGTAGTTCAAAAATGAATATGACTCTAGGCATATCACTTTATCCATCTATACTTGGCAGCATTAACAGAAGTGTGATATATGTGAGTCCAATCAATTCAAAGTTATACTGTTTAAGATTTGAGAAGGGACTAAAGCACTACTGAAATATCAGAAAATATATGCAAAACTTCTAATGCTATTTTTGCTGGCTAAAATGTTAATTTCTAGGCATTTTTTCCCCCGATTAAGTTATTGTAACTAAAGCAACATGCTAGAAGACATGTTGGCAGAAATGAGCCTATAACACAATTTTGAAATTGCATTTTTTATTGGAAAAATTCATTCAACTGTAGACATCTTAAACCTGACAAATTGTTCATGTGTAAAAATGACTAATAGTATAAGTGCTCTATATACAAATAGCATTCACTTCACTTTTGCAAACCTGTTGTTAATATTGTCATGTCATGTTTTCTTGTAACTGTAATCAGAAAATGTATAGGTTGTCATATTGTAAAAAAGGGAAAGTACTCCTAGAATTTAGAATTTAGCATGTTGATGTTACTGCATACTCTTAACAATTACCCTTCATCTCCTTAATATAAATATTCAAATACATTAATTTGTAGGAAATTTATCTACTTCTGATATGTAACTTTTTATAACTAATTTCTTATAATTTTACTTTATTTTCCATGTAGAGTTAGAAGATACACGTTTTTCAGTGTATTTTATTAAGAATTGGTGAAACAATAAATCATTTTGTTTTTGAATTTTCTTCACTGCCTGTACTCTTTGACTTTGGTATAGTAATATGTTATTTAGTATTCAACTTAATAGAAGAGCATTTAATATAAGTGACATTTTCAAACATGCACAATATGATAATTGACTTTTGAGATCTTATTCTTAATAATCTTCAAGATACTAAAACACCTTTTGAATCACATTAAAATGTTAAATTGTATGTTGCAACATTGTTACATGAATTTTAGAGTTGTGGATTTTGTGACTCTCTAGATCTATGCAAGTTACTGGCTTGTTGTGATATAGAACTGCTTTCCCAGTTAACCATACTGTTTATGGGATTGTATATATTGATTTTACAGTGTTTATTCTTGTTTTTTTTTCTTTTTAAAAATAATTTTATTTTAAATATGTGGGGCATAATTCAGGGTTAGGTATATAAATGTTCATACTATAAATGTAGGTACTCTTCTTGATGAAGTGTGCCTTCTCTCCCCTGGTAGTTTCCCACTACTGCCACTCCTGCCCGGTGTTTATTCTTTATAAAAAAATTTAAAGAATTTTTAGGAAAAACTCATATTTTATTAGAAAAAAGGGATATTATATAGGAATTTTTAGCTGTGCCTTAAAGGAAAAGATATTTTGTACAAGGAAGCAATTATAGTATAGTTCAAATGTTCCTGTTTTAAGTTTTGTAGTATATACATAGGTGAGTCAATAAACCAATGATTCTGCATAGAGATAGTCACTTATAATAATTCACAATTTTGATATAGTTATAAAACGCATTTTATTTTGCTTACCACTTTTGACTTCCAGTCAGTCTAAGCTATTGACAATTACGCCTGGAGAGAACTGTGTACTAGGCTATTCTTATGCAAGTTATTTAGCATGCTTTTATAAAATCATACTTTGTAATACTTGCAGAACTAAAATATGTATCCTGATAAACTGTAATCACTACTAGGTTGACCATCAAGGACACACATCTCTAGTGAATATGCTTAAAGAAGTAAAAGAGAATGTACCTATAAAGCAAAGTAAGAGAGGAATGAAGAGAATCCACAGGGTCGTCAGGGGTATATTAGTATCTGATCACATGCAAAAGCTCCTCAGCAGATGTTGGCGAGGTTGTAGAGAAAAGGGAATGCTCCTACACTGTTGGTGGGAATGTAAGCTAGTTCACCCCCTGTGGAAAGCAATTTAGAGATTTCTCAAATAACTAAAAATAGATTTACGTTCGACCCAGTAATCCCATTACCAGGTAAATACCCAAAGGAGCATTAAAAAAAAAGACGCCAACACTATAGCACAGCACTATTCACAAAATAGCAAAGACATGGAACCAATCAGGATGCCCATCAGTGTGGCATGGACAGAGAAAACATGGAACATACACACCATGGAATACTAAGCAGTCATAATAAAAAGAACAAAATGATATCCTTTGCAGCAATGTGAATGCAGCTGGAGACTATCATTCTAAGCAAATTAAAACAGAAACTAAATATTACGTATTCTCACTTTTATGTGTAAAAGGGTGCTAAACACTGGGCATATATGGGTTTAAGAATGAGAACAACAGACCTGGGGACTCCCAAAGTGTGAAGGGTCAAAGAGGAAAAAATTACCTGTTGTGTACCATGCTCACCATTTGAGTGATGAAACACAAACCTCACCATCACACAATATACCCAGGTAACAAACCTGCAGATCTAAAACCCTTTGAATCTAAAATAAAATAATAAAATAAAAAGCTCCTGACAGATCCTTTCCATGTATATTTTAAAATTATCAAATGCCAAAGGTAAACCAATTTATCGGAAGTGCTTCATATAATAAAGAATAAATGCCTCATATTGGAGCCCCTGTGAATGTAATCATTTATTCAGTTCATCAGTCTGAATGCATGCACATGGTGAGGAGCACTGTCCAAGCAGTTGCCCAAGGCTCTGAGATATTCTAGAATTTTCTCACACTCTCTATACCTACTCAGTCATGAGTTCTTTGGGTTCTCACTTTTGAATCTGTCTTTTTCACTATTCTCAATGCTTATGCCTTAGTTCAAACTCTTACCACTTCTCATGTCCATGCTCCCTCGTTGACTCTGTCTCCATCACAATCTTGTTTCAACCCATCCTGCGCATTGATTTTGGAATGACATTTTGCAAATGTACATTACTTCCTTAATAACACTCTTCCCTGATATCCTATGTCTTTCAGAAAAGTTCAAACTGACCTTAACGCCTAAAACCTAAACGAGCTGGTCTCCTTAAACTCAACTCTCTGTGCTCTGCTCACTCCTCACATGCCATTCCAAACAACTTAACAGTTTTTAAGATGGATCGTGAGATTTCAAACCTCTGTACTTTCACATCTGTTTTGCTACTTTTATCTAAAATTATTATTTTCTTTATCTAAAATTATTTTCTCCACTTAATGAATTAATTTATATTAACCTTCTAATACGACCTCAAAACTCATTTATTCTAAAAAGTTAAGCCAGACAGTCTTGAATCTGATGGAATTGCCTTCCTTGGGATCCCAGTGGCACCCTGGATGTGCCCTTCTTCTAGCATGTATTACTTTGCACTATCATCATCACTTTGTTAATGCTTCTCCCCCTGGATTGTCAACTGCTTGCAAGCAGGAACAATATCTTATTTAACTCTGTGATCCTGGTATCTAGCACAGTGTCTGACACGGGTAGGTGTTAAACCAGTATTTGTAGACTGGGAAAATGTTTGATTTATTGAGCCACAATTGTTATGGTTTTTGTATTTGAGCAATTTTGCATTGAAACACTTTAGCATAGGCTATATAAATAATGTGAATTTCTACTTCTACTACAGAGGCAGTTACCTTGATAAAGAATATACAGACAGCAAGTTCTACCTAGTCTTTTTTCAACAAGGCCTCACTGTTCAGAGGCTAATACATTGGAACTCAGTCAACATCTGAAGCCTAATTAG